GTTGCATGTTTTATACCATCAGGAATCAAACTGGAAGTAATACTGCTATTTATAATAGCAAGGACTGAGGTTCCAATTGAAGGGAAAACCTCTTTAAATAGTCATGCAGGGATAACATCCACAGGAGAACCACAAGGTTTAATTTGCCTAACCATCTTGTTAAGAAGTGTAATTGAGATAGGTTCAAACTGGTATAAGGCAGCTGAACAGGAATTAAACGTGGATGGATTATATGTAGGAGGTACTATTGCTGACCTGATGGACTCAACCTTGTTTACAAAAAAAGACAGAAACTGATTACATCTGTCAGCGGAGCCTTCCAGGGTGGTAGACTGGGGCACATTTAAAATAGAAAAGCAAAAGTAATTCACTGACCACTGGCAAAAAAAAGATGGGATTTATTTCAGTTTAGTGAAATTCTCATGCAGCAATGCAGCTAAAATTGCTCTTTAGGTCATGTAAATGTTTAATATTCTATTCTATAGGATTCTTTGTACTGTTCTACGACATTGTAAAGGTATCCTACTGGTTACTGGTAAATGGGGAGGCCAGTGAAGTTCATTGTGTTGTCCATCAAATCAACTTTAGCCAACCTGTGCTTTATGACAGTGGTGCATTGTCCTGCTGAACGCAACCATTTGAAGATGGTGATAGTAATGCAGATTTTCACTACTCAGCCTGGCTGTGGCATTCAAACCATGAGAAATTGCTATTAAGAGTCCCAGTGTGTGCCAAGAAAATATTTCACACATCACACAAAGCAGATCGGGTCCAGAAATGCATACACAGATGCCAGACTGCCTTCCACAATCATGCTGGTTTGGCTAAATAACAATCTAGAAATAGCATCAAAGCATAGCCAAGTTTATTGTTTGCAGCGTTCTCTTATTTAACTATAAATAAGTGTAAAACCCCCCAAACATCGGTCCTCCACATCATCGGCCTCGTTGACAATATTAAATCTAACACACACACACACACACGCCCAGAAAAAGTGAAAAAAGCAGAGTGGAGCTCACCTGTCAGCACCATTACTACCCCTTCCCTGCTGTCCCCTCTGGGGAATGGACCAGTCCCTTGTCATAGACTGACATCTTTCCCATGGGTTCCTAATGGATCCAAAGATGCACGTGCACACACACACACACACACACACACACACACACACACACACACATACATTCTGGCTGAATCATAAAAGTACTGATCCCTAAAGTCAGTTTCCCAAGGTGCTGTCAGAATATCCCTGGACAAAGACCAGGGTATCCAGTTGAGCTGTGTGGTGAGTGTGTTGTGTGTGTGTTGGTGTGTGTGTGTGTGTGTGTGTGTGTGTGTGTGTGTGTGTGAGTGTGTGTGTGTGTGTGTGTGTGTGTGTAAATGTCGTCTAAATGTGAGACAGCACTAGTTTTGACATTTCTTGATCCCACTGACACATTCTTAGGGGCAGTGGACACTTATCTTCTTTGGAGAAAATGGAAATAAATAAAAATAAAGAAACACATTTTCCATTGTCTTTTGCCAGTGGTGTGATTGGCAGAAGTCCTCAGGGGCAGAGAGAAAAAGTCACACCTCAACAACCATTTTGGCTGTGTAAGTGTGCTGTGATGGACACATTTCCTCAAGGCATTATTGGCAGATACAGTCATAATGATGTGAGCTTATCCAAAAGAAGAAAAATGTTTGGCCACTTATGCCAACTTAATATCAGTTAATTGTAAATAGTTGTCTAGATCCAACTTTCAGTCCTGTGACACAGATGCACTTCTGCAAGTTGAAAATCATTTTGGTGCATGTGCAAATACATGTATGAATGGACTTTGAAAAAAGGAAAGAAAATAAGCAAGATTTTCTTTGCGAAAAATGACACCATTACAATAAAATAACTACTAAAATTAAAAGACCTCATAATTATAAGTTAATGGTAGTCAGAAGACACAGACAGTTCTAAAATGTCTGTCATATCTTTTTACTATCCATCATGTGATGTTTTTGTGATATTGTTGATATGTTGATGTTAAACACAAAAGAAAATCCTGTATTTAAGGCATAAATTTCTCATTAGATGACATTTAATGAAGACAGCCATTTCCATTCCGCAAATGTGTTTTAAATAATAATTTTTAACTTCAATATATTAAGCATGGCTCAGCTGTAGAACTTTAAATGACATATATGTTAAAAAAAAACTACAATATAGTATTATCATTGCTGTGGTTTGATATTTTGCATAGATCTAACAATTTCATAAGACTGATCTTTATTGAACAAGATTTCACAATTTCACACTTTATGTATTCAGTAAAATAATTACTCCTAATATCATGCAGGTGGCATTATAATCAACTCAAATCTCAAAAAGTAAGATTGAGTAAAATTCAAGTTTAAATATAATTACAGTATGGAATATAATTTCATAATTTTAAAGAAAGGAATGTAATAATCTGCATCATGTGCAACAGATGCAGATTTTGCAGTTTTATAATTAAAATATTTATATCTTATCATGAGAACATACAGATTTTATGCCTATCAAATATGACTTAAAAATACAAAACCTATTAAGTGTGTTACGATACAGTTCATCACACCATTACAAAATACCTGTCATGGTAAAGATTTTCAAACATTGCTATTATAGGCCAAAATAAAAATAAAACAAGCAAAAAATATGAATTTCATCCAGTGTTTAGAAAGAGATAATGTCTTATATTTATTAAGAATTATTAAATTTATTATTTTAAATTTATATATTTAAGTATATTCTGCAGTGTTAAACTGCAAGAAAAATATTTTAAAAAACACAATCTTAGAAAAATCTTTGTTGCATTCTTAAAATGTAATCTTAAATCTGCACATGGTGCATACTGGGCTCCATTCCCATGCAGTGAATGATTTGATTTTTAAAAAAACTTATATAAGGTGGGCATGTTTTGTTGTTTACTGGTCTAGAAGAAATGTTACTTTTAAACTCAAGTTTTAAAATGTACTCCATCAGCTGACTGACCTCCCAGGGATCACTTGTTTTTTTTATGCTACTTCTTTGCTTCCTTTGGAAACTGTGTTCATTTTTTCCCATTATTACACCTTTGTGCAGAATTTCAGCTACCTGTGGAAAACCAGTGACAGCAACTCGAAAAACCACAAATGCCCTTCTTTTCCTGTTTAAGTTGTATAAATGAGCAACTTAAACAGGAACAGTTTCTAGTAAAATTTTTAATTCAGCCTCGGGTTATAAAGATTTTTTCAGATTTATATGTGATCTAAAGGGCTGTGGTTTGACTCTATATATTTATTTTTTTCAAGATAAATTAATGTATAAAAAAGGAACAAGAAAGAAACATCAAGGAAGAACAGAACCAGAATATTTTCACGTTTGAGAAGACAACTGAATAAAAAAAGGTTTCAATCATACACACAAAAGCACAAGTCAGCACAAAGCAACCAAGGTCCCAACAGCAAACACATACACACTCCTTCTGAGTGTATCCTAATCCGTGTTTCAGGCAGGTTTTGTTTGCAGAGGATGAGGCAGTTCGCGGGCTGGCCTGTGGTTAACTGACACCCTCGTTACATTTTCCACTATTTTTCTTTCTCTTCCTTTCTAACTCTGCTCTATTGTGCTTTTCTGTGCTTTTCTGTACACGCTATAAAAAAGGGAGGGAATGCCAACAGAATGTAATTTGTCTTTTTTATATGTGTGTGTGTTTTGTCTGTTAAAATAAAACCCAATAATTTCATATTTCATGACTAGTAAATTTTGGTGTGTGCTGGTTTTAAAAACGAAAATTATCACCCAGTTATACCTAGAATCACCAAAACTACCAAGGGCTGTCTACTATCATTTTGTCACTGCTGAAACATGAGTGTGAGCTAGCTAGAAGTGATTTTTGTGTTCCAGTGCTGGGTAATATTGCCAGTGAGGGTGTTGTTTCAGAGCCAGACAGTATTACAAGAGATGTGTTTCTTAGTGATGGGCAGATGAAGCCCCATGAAGCACTGAGAGCTGGCTCCATTCTCTCCTGACTTTCTCTCCTCACTCTCATAAACCTCCAAACTCTCCAACTCCAAACCGCAACTCTCCATCAAACACCCACATTTTGAATGAAGTCTGAGGGGTTTATATCGCTGTCATACTCGCGGCAAAGTTCGAACCAGCTTCATGAACCAGTCACGTGGTACAGCCGGGCAGCGAGGCTTCGGACGTCATCATTTTCAGCTCCTCCCATAAATGAAGCAAGCCTCGATACGCGCTTCGCGGAAACGCCCCCTCCATTACTCGACACAAGCTCCGAAGCTCATACAGAATACGCTGCTTGTGACAGCTCAGAGGTTGTCTAAGAGAATATTGGGAGCAACAACACCATGAAGTCCAAAGAACACACCAGACAGGTCAGGGATAAAGTTATTGAGAAATTTAAAGCAGGCTTAGGCTACAAAAAGATTTCCCAAGCCTTGAACATCCCACGGAGCACTGTTCAAGCCATCATTCAGAAATGGAAGGAGTATGGCACAACTGTAAACCTACCAAGACAAGGCCGTCCACCTAAACTCACAGGCCGAACAAGGAGAGCGCTGATCAGAAATGCAGCCAAGAGGCCCATGGTGACTCTGGACGAGCTGCAGAGATCTACAGCTCAGGTGGGGGAATCTGTCCATAGGACAACTATTAGTCGTGCACTGCACAAAGTTGGCCTTTATGGAAGAGTGGCAAGAAGAAAGCCATTGTTAACAGAAAACCATAAGAAGTCCCGTTTGCAGTTTGCCACAAGCCATGTGGGGGACACAGCAAACATGTGGAAGAAGCTGCTCTGGTCAGATGAGACCAAAATGGAACTTTTTGGCGCTATTGTGGCGGAAAACTAACACTGCACATCACTCTGAACACACCATCCCCACTGTCAAATATGGTGGTGGCAGCATCATGCTCTGGGGGGGCTTCTCTTCAGCAGGGACACGCTCAAAAAAATGAATGAGGTGGGATTGTTCAGTGTATAAATTATTTATTTTCATTTTACTTAAAATATATGTTTTTGTTAAGTTAACATATGTTTTTCTAATCAAGTCTACGTAATTGTGTCTATTATTCAACGTACATAATACTAATGTGTTACTTGATCGCATAACATTTAAGTTAAGTCAATTAGGATCGATATACCTTGTATATCCACAAGGTGGCAGTAATGCAAAAACAGTTGTAATGAAACCGCGCAGAACAAGAAGGTTTCACGGCTTGTGCCTGCTCATGCGCAAGACTTCAAATTTAACTGAAAAAGGCTGTTTTGGCGCCAAGCTGCTGTTTCTTTGAGAGGTAAGACCACTTTTTTCTTTGACTATGTTGTGTAGTATCTATATGTCCAGCATGGTTATATTTTGCGTTTGTCTTACAAGACATGTTATATCGTTTGCGTGCGCTTGTTTTACATTAGTTTTACTGGGTCCTGGACATGCTTATTTTGTGGACTGTGTAAGAAACATTTTTATTGTTTTTTGTTTTATTAAGGGATTAGCTACAGGGGTTCATGGGGTTATTCTTTTCAAGGGGTTATTTTTTCATTTGCTTTCTTGGGATTCCTTTTCTGTAACCGAGAGTCGGAAATATCGAATAGGATAGCAAGGATAGCATAAAGTGACATTTAAAATCCAAAAAGTCAAGGGCGAAAGCCACTGTGACACCATTGTTCTGCTCTATCAGTAATCTGTATTATGTAAAAATGGTCTGTAAATACAGCATGTTTCCTAGCGGAGTTATACATATCAATGTAGTTATAAATTACAGTTTGTGAAAGTACACACTTAATTTTTTAAATAAAATTATTCAAGACATATGAGTGGACAGACAATGGAGGTCGACAGACCTGGTGATAATTGCTTCTATAGAAAGTTAGCACATGGCAGTGTCAATCTCTTGCTTTTCTTCTGAGTAGTATTTTATTTAGTTGTAATTCAAACAATAATTTGCTTCTTGAAATTAAGTAATGAATTTCTTGTTTTACTTTATAAATCTCAGATCCTGCCTTTACCTGCTCCCTCCTATACTGATGTGGTGTATGTGGTACTGCTGAGCTTGTATGTGGTATGTGAACTGTTATACTTTTAAAAACAAAACTGTTTTATAAGTTAAGTTTTCTTTTGTGACCCATCCCATGCCCCTGTTATTTCTTCTCCACATCTGAACCATGGTAAAGGTTGCAGTTCAAGGGCCTGAGGCATGAAATTCTTTTCAGATCAGCTGTGATCAATATTTTTTGGAACTTGATAAATAACAATAAAAGCTGTAATGGCTCCATTAGCATTTTGTGTAAATGTTTGTGTTAAAATTATAGCTTTAATGAGGTCTTTCTACATTAGTTTTAGTTATAAAGTATGTATATGTGTACATATAGTATGTATATTTACAGTACAGTATGTTGTGTTTGTTGACATGTTTTCAGGTGGAAGCAGAATTTGTGAGGATTACTACTGCTGCACATGTTCCAAGGCTTTTTACACAACTTGACCAATACACTGACCAGCTCATAAAAGTCTTCAAGAAAAAAGGAGGCGTTGCAGGGAAGAAAATTAGACAAACTTTGGCCCCAGCCACACAGGTGCGTTATTCTGTTGGTAGCAAAATATTATGGCTAATAAGATCATTTTCAAATTTAAACAGCTAGTGTATGGTAGCTGCACAGTGCACTTACATTTATATTAAGCAAGACAAAGTTTGGTACTCAAAACGTTGGAAAATTTAAATTACCTAAACATATGTAAAATCTGATCCCTTGATTTAGGTTAAACCAGAAGTGAATGTTTTTATGTTATGTTTTGAATGCAAAAAAGATGATGTATTAGTTTGTCTTTACCTCCATTATGGACATATATAATGTGGTGGAAACCCTGCCCAACAGGTTAACTATTCATGTCCATGTGATGATTAGTTGGTCTTGTGTACATGTCTATCTGTGCAGTGGATATGTCATTCATTTTGCGTATAATGTGAGTTTCTGTCATCCTAAAGTATATCTGTTTTCTCTTCCTGTATCTCTGCCACTCTCTACAGAAGGAAACATTGAAAAGGGGAGGGAGTGTGTCCTCAGGGCACTACCTTTTTACCTGAATGAAGACCCAAGCATCCTCTTCAAAGAATAATTGGTTGGTAATATATTGTGTTTACTTCATTAAACTGGACGCCGTTTTTCTATGTTTTTGTGTCTAAGCTACAGCTAAAGCTGTTCAGAGGGAGCTGGAACAAATTACCCTTGCTATCTTCTACCATCGAAAGAGCTGATGCCAGCACTCCTCCAGCCGATGTGGGTATAACCATCTCGGGTGTGTCTGCATGACCTGGAAGACCTGGCCTCTGCATGTGCACTCTTAATGGGTGGGATATATGCACTGAATCTCAGTTAACCTCAAGACTGAAAGCTTTCTTTGAAGTACTTCAGAAGCTCTTCCTTCATCTGTATGTCAGCAGACTCTTGACCAAGGTACAGTTGCTCAAGAATACACTGAATGAATAAGCCAACCTTTAATTTGGATGATGAATGTTCTGTCAGATGGACAGAAGTTTTTCGGAGGCTGAATGGGAATAAAATGGTAATTTGTAAATGACAGATAACGGGAAAATTACATTTAAGAGAAATTTATAACATTTTGAAAAGTTTGTAAACTACTACAATTTGAGAGATTTTACTGTTGTGTGGGTGGGCTAGTAGATGAAATAAAAGATATGACGATTTAAAGGTTGTTATATTAGAGATAGATATGTTACGAGGTGGAAATATGCATAGTCAGGCGTTCTCACTCCTCGAGGCGTAACATGTCTACGTTTTGTCACGTCCCGCGGCGTTCCTGAGGAACGCGAAAGGAGACCTTCGGCGTTCTTATGGTACGCGGCGGGTTATGGCTGGAATCCAGTGCAATGACGCTCCCGCGGTAGTAGACGTTCCAGCCCTGTATTCCAGCCCTAAACCTAACCTTATCCCTAGCCCTGACCATAACCTTATTCCTGACCTTAACCAGGACTTTAATGATGTTAAATAGCGTGTTTCTAAGCGATTTGAAGAAAAAGAGCGAACATGTGTAGGTTCAGTCCAGACGGTTCTCATATTTCCTCTTTTTCCGAGGTCGTCATTTAGGAACGTGGTGGGTAGCCGAAAACGTAATATGTTGACGATTTGTCACCTAGCGTAAAATGTTACGCTTTGGGAGTGAGAACGGGTTTGATATTAGTTTGGTTACTTGTGTCATTGTAAAGGTAATTGCAATACATACTAAGAATAAGGGTAAGTTAGGAATGCAGGATGAATGTATATTTTGGGACTTTTAAAGACGAACAATTGTTTCCATGTTAAAATGTTTACACTGAAGTTTTTTGCCCAAACACTGGTAAAATAAATGTTGACAGTGGCAAGTGTTAAATGGTTACTGCTGTGCTGTTGCAAAAAAACTGAACGCTGACAAGCTGTTTTATTGTTAGACCATAATGTTGGCATGTTTTATTAAAGTTTTATTTGGGATGGTGATTAATTTTCTTTGGATTGCTAATATCAGTGGACTATTTATTATTATTTATTATTATTATTAGTTGTTTTACATAAATTTTTTTAATTGTGGCTGTTGAGGTGGACACTTCACTTTGCATTGTTAAAGGAAAGCACTTCATTGGCGTTGTGTTACTGGACTGACCCTAAGCAATCATTGCAAATAGCAACTTTGCTATCCATTTTAGACACTAAAAGAAAAAACACTCCACAGACCTTACTAGCATCACATGTGCATAACTCAAGTGTCATCTTATCAAATGTTATGTGGTCTTCAATGGTTTTTTTTTTCTTCTATTTCTGGAGATACAGACATTTAATTTAAAGTCTTGATGTTGCATCTGTCTACATACTGTTAATTACTAACCCTAATGAGCTGTCTGTGTTTTGATTTCGGACCGGTTTTACACAAATGCTCACTGAATGTGTTGGCAATAAAATAAATTTATAAAAAATAAGTTGGATGTACTTAATTCATTTGTGTGGAACCTGTTGACAAAATAGATTTATGTAAAGCACAAGGTGGCTGAAAATATAATATTTGAATTAATCTAACTTAAATTTAACATTTTACTGCCACAAATAAGAAATGTGTTGAAGTAACTAATCTAAACTATCTAACCTGAAATATATCATCTATGTTCATACAACATAACTTGATTTAGTTAGTCTTAAATATGTCTTGTTAATCTTAAGTATTTTTAAATTAGATGAACTAAAGATTTTTGCTTTAAACTAACATAATTCAATTTCGTGGAACCTGTTGACAAAATAATTTTAATTAAAGTCAACATTTATTGCTGGTCAGAGTTGATGGGAGATGGATGGAGGCCAAATACAGGGCAATCTTGGAAGAAAACCTCTTGGAGTCTGCAAAAGACTTGAGACTGGGGCGGAGGTTCACCTTCCAGCAGGACAACGACCCTAAACATAAAGCCAGGGCAACAATGGAATGGTTTAAAACAAAACATATCCATGTGTTAGAATGGCCCAGTCAAAGTCCAGATCTAAATCCAATCGAGAATCTGTGGCAAGATCTGAAAACTGCTGTTCACAAACGCTGTCCATCTAATCTGACTGAGCTGGAGCTGTTTTGCAAAGAAGAATGGGCAAAGATTTCAGTCTCGTAGATGTGCAAAGCTGGTAGAGACAGACCCTAAAAGACTGGCAGCTGGAACTGCAGCAAAAGGTGGTTCTACAAAGTATTGACTCAGGGGCTGAATAATTACGCACACCCCACTTTGCAGTTATTTATTTGTAAAAAATGTTTGGAATCATGTATGATTTTCGTTCCACTTCTCACGTGTGCACCACTTTGTGTTGGTCTTTCACGTGGAATTCCAATAAAATGATTCATGTTTGTGGCTGTAATGTGACAAAATGTGGAAAAGTTCAAGGGGGCTCGAATACTTTTGCAAGCCACTG